GTTCAAGGGGTAAGGTTTAGGGGTGCACTGATTGCAGTTTTCTGGCCAATCTCCAATCACAGAGTTAAAAAGTCTGACCTGCCTATTTCGATTTTGTCCGATACCGATTTTGTTTTATAAGCGACACGGTCAGGTGTTGTAAGGTCACAATGCACCTTCAATTTTCCAATATTATTTTTGTTGAAAAGCATACCCTTGAACAATATCCTAGAAACAATACAAACTTGTTTTAACTGGTCATGAGGTAGTGATCTGAAATATAAATGAAGTTCAGACAGTTGTTGTTAACCTTAAAAAAAATCAGTAAAATCGGCTTATCATGCAAGTATCGGCCAATTTCCCAAAATTAGGGAAATCTGTGCACCTCTAGTAAGGTTCGAAGCTAGGGAAACCCATTAAATAACCTGTTTGGTGTGTTCCTTGATCTTCATGATGCTGCTTGTTTAGTAATTCTTTATACCAATGGCCTGAGCCCTTCACAGAATATGTGTACTTATACTGAAAATAAATGACCTTCAGTAGATTCTATTAACTAATTAGGTGACTTCTGAAGTTATTTGCACTGGATTTTTGTCCCCCCTTGCACAGCAAAGAGGGGAATTGGAAGTACCCTTTATCCATCAGTTTTGTGAGCTTGATAAGTCAAGTCAATTATAATAATTTTTTTTTTTTTTTTTTTTTTTTTTTTGGGGAAAAATAAACGAGGTACCAGCTTCCATTTTGGGCTTGGCTGCATCTAAGCATAAAAAGGTTCCTATCGATAATTAGGTTATGTCAAAATTAAGGATGCACGATGTTATCGGCATGGTATCGGTATCGGCCGATATTAGCGATAAAGTTAAATATCGGACATTGGCCAGTCCGTCAAAATAACTCACAATATAAAAGGCATCTGTTTTAAGTAAATTTTTTAATTCAAGAAACTGTCAAGTATATCTATTAATACACTACTACTTATGCACTTTTCACTTGTCGTTGTGAACAGGTTGAGTTTAGATTTGTGAAAATATACAACATTGCACTGTTCGAGTGTTGTCATTGTGTTAGAGAGAGTAAATGTCATGAATAAATTTGACATTAAGCATAATCCTAGTTGAAGTGTTGCATCATTTTCAGAATCCTTTTTGGCATCTGTATTTGGTAGAAACCCAAATTGACAAAGACCATGCAGAATAATGTAGTATTTTAATTCCACAGCAGAGAAAGCTATGTAGTCTCTGTAAGTAGGTATAGGGAAAAAATTATCGGTATTGGTATCGGTTATTGGACAAATAAATTTTAAAATATTTGTTCGGCCAAAATCCAATATGCATCCCTAGTCAAAAATCCAAGATGGCCGTGTTCCACCATTTCACCTAGTGGTGGATAAACTTGCTCCCTTCGCTTGCCAGGACCCGTCATTCTGCGTCGCCTCTGACAAGCAAAAAAAAAAAAACTATTTTTTTTATAAACAGTTCAACTCTTTTCCACTTGAATGTATTGGACCAAAAACATTAAGGTTTATTTGTGTTCCCTAATTCCAATCCAGAAAAACACTAAGTATAAACATTCACTATTCAAATCTCTCAGCTTTTAGTTAGAGGTGTTCGAGTATAGGGGGTTGAATACAATTTGTTTCCCACATCACAATTGTGTGTTACTTTCTGTTGGTCTATCACATAAAAAACATGGTAAAATATTTAGAAGTATGTGGAAAAGTTCAAGGGATGTGAATTCTCTCATTCATCAAAGTAAAATATTGTGGTCTGGTTGAAAAGCTGCTGAAGGAGGTGGAATTTTCAGGAAATGCAAACGGAAAACATAAATTAGTGTCACATAACATAAACATTGTAATTGAGTAGGGTTCAGGTTTTAAACACCCCTCCTTCCCCAACATAACCTAAATGTAAAAAACATATAGAATTAAACGTTAAAGATGTTCTTGTTTGCTGTTGAAATTAATTTTAGAAGTCATTGTATAGATTGTACAATATCTGCAACATAAATAATTTAAACACTGAGCAAAATGCCGCAGCATGTTTCTTTGTTTTCTAAATGGTACTGATCTGGAAGGGTTTTTTTAGTGCTTAGGTATAACGTTGTTTTAAAGGTCGATATCCTCAGTCAGGACTGACCTCTCAGTAATAATGTAATGTTTTGAATTTTACATGAAGAGATGACAGAGACTGATAAGAAAACTCATTTTTAGGTCCTGACGTGCTTTGACTTGTCATTGTATTTGGATTTGACAGAAACAGGAGATTGCTCTGTCTGGGATCTCAGGAATAATACATTTAGTCTAAAGTCAGTTTGCATTTTGAGGATATTGTTTTAGAGCTTCCAGTAAGGAATAATGTTAATATTAAAAGACTTCCTACGTTTGTTTATCTTATAAAAACCTTTGATATTAAAGCAAGTCTCGTTTCTACATTCCATTTCTATGCAAAGATTCAGCGCATATGGATCATGTTATAACCCTCAAACTCATTATTGTGACCCAGATTACAAAGAGTAAGAATTTCTAATCTCTAATGTTGCTGTTGGTGTGTTTGTTTTTTCATGGTTGCTTCATTTTGCTAAGCTTGCCACAGCAAGTGAAATATAAGATTTGGTTATTTTTTTATTCTGGATGCTCTTCTAGATGCAACAGGGCTCAAAGGGGAGAGAAATGACAGGGTTCCCTGTGACTGGAATTCTGGGAAAACCTGGAGAATGGCTTTCACATTTTCCAGACACGAAAACTGGATATTTGAACACTGATTAAAATATGATCTTTCTGAGATTTTAATGTGTACATGTAAATGTCGCCGGTTCAAAACCTGTCCCAGGTCCTTTCTGGGTGGAGTTTGCATGTTCTCTCCGTGCATGCAGGGATTTCTCTGGTTTCCTCCCACAGACCCAAAACATGCATGTTAGACTGATTGCTAACTCTAAATTGTCTCTAGGTGTGAGTGAGAGTGTGAATGGTTGTTTGTCTCATTTGTTTCTGTTTGTCCCTGTGATGGACTTGTGGCCTATCCTGGGTGTCCCCCGCCTCTCGCACAGTGATTGCTGGATATGGGCACCAGTGACCCCCATGACCCAAAAAGGAAGAAGCGGGTAAAGATAATGGATGAATAGATGTATTAATGCTAGTATTTTAGTATCAATGAGTCCATGTGCAGCTTTTAGTGTACAAAGTGCATGTGTCCTTACTGATTGGTTCTGGTGGCTTTCTATTATCTGATGTTATACAAAATAACTAATTATGCTGTGTACATGTCGTAGGCTACACATTAAATCAGTCACTGCTACAGTAAATCCCATACCTGCCACCTAAGACGCTAAATTCTGAGCGTTTCATGGGACTGAAATATCTCCTGGAATTTCTGGATTTACTCAGGGAATTTTATTTTCATGAAATGCTGGGAACCCTGAGTATCTGCATTTTATGTGCCATAATTGATTTGGTCAGTTCATGTAAGTTCATATTATAGTTACGTGTACAATCTATATAATACACAGTGAGATTAGCTTAATGAGATGATCTATGACGTTATGTAATTGCAATCAAACAACACAGCACAGCTTTTTAAAATTTATTTATTTTAGAAAAGCCAAAGTTATAAGTAGAGGACTTTCTGAGTTTGAATTTAGATTGGATGGTTAAAAAAAAAAACTGCATTCTTTGAAGTGTGCAGGCAGAAAGTAAAATCTCTTGTTCCATCAAAATACTTATTACCATTATTTGTGTTCCCCAGAAATCAATCAATGCATGGCTTACTTTTTTATTTTTATTTATTTATTTTTTATTATTTTAACTAGCGATGTAAAGGTTACGGCTAAGCTGAAAAGCAAAGCTCTTGATTTACTGGTCTGTCTACAGTCCAACCCTCATCAATGGTCATGAGGTTTGGATCTTGACGGAAAGAACTAGATCCCAGATACAAGCGCCCAAAATGAGCTTCCTTCGTAGGGTGGCTGGGCTCGCTTAGCCTTAGAGATGGGGTGCGGAGTGCCGTCATCCTGAGAGAGCTCACAGTAGAGCCGCTGTTCCTCTGCAACGAAAGGACTCGAGGTGGTTCAGGCATCTTGATTAGGATGCCTCCTGGACACCTCCCTTTGGATGTTTTCCGGGCATGTCCCACTGGTAAGAGGCCCAGGGGAAGACCCAGAACTTGCTGGAGGGATTGTGTGTCTTCTCTGGCTTGGGAACGACTTGTGTCTTTTCTGCTTTGTAGGAGTACTATTTTTACACCTTTTGCTAATAATTTGTTATTAGCGATACCTGGTGTTCAGAAGAACTGCAACTGCACTGGTATAAACAGCAACTAATACTAAAGGTGTGCTTCACCCTGATCATGTTAATTCACTAATATCCGGACCTTGTTTCGCTGGGAAAATGGTAATAAAGTTCAAGTAAATGACCAGCTCAAGTACTTCTTAAAAGGTGGGATTCTATTAATAGATGAGTTAATAAACACTAAAGTGTTGTTTGGTCATACTTTTTTGTGCTATTTGTCAATGTCTTAGTGTTTAGCTCCACGTTTTACACAGTCTGACTCTGGGAAAGAGATGAACTTGTGTCAAAGTCCTCAGTAGAAATTTAGTCTAACCATTTTTTTTTTCTGTGAGGGTGAAGTTTATTTGGAGAAGTTGTTTTCATTCCCTCATACTGTGATTGAACGTCAGTCCAGAAGAACAGTAAATATAGACGTCATGAAAGAGCAACAAAGAATATGTTTAGCTTGGAAGCCTGAACTCTTAACCCTTTTGTGACTGACATCTTATAATGGATGGTAGATAGTGATGTGATATTGTATGTTGGCTGAGGTTATCTCCTTACATCTCTGGATTTCATCAGTAATAGGTGTCCTCATGATGATGCTGATGGATAAAGTCTAAACATCTGACCATTCGATGCTGTTCAGTGCATCTTTAATAGAACACAACTAATCTACTTAATGTATTTTTATTTCCTTTAAAAAGGAAGCAGTCTTTGTAGCAGTCTACAAACCAGCTAACTGTTTTCATTTTTGTAGGTTGTGCAAAGATGGGGGGCGTGCACTTCACAGAAGAACTACCTTCTTCTGGAGCCCCATCTCACGTTCATTTTGACGAGAAGCTACATGATTCTGTTGTCATGGTGACTCTGGAGGACGACGGCAACTTCATGGTCAAGGTGTGTAATAGTCTGGCACTTTGTACTGTAGGTACAGTAGGAACTTGGTTTTATTTTTCCCTATCTTGCATTTAAATCATGTCCTCCTCCACCAAAATGCAAAGGCATAACAATAATGTTTCTGTCTACGTTTGTGTGTATGATGGTGTCTGTCACCAAAACATCTCAACCACTGGATGAACTTTAATGACGTTTGCAATCACTAGATGAGCATCTACAACTGAAAATATAACTAACTATAACTTTTGTAGTCAACCGGATTCAAAATGGCTGTTGTAGCCAACTGAGTTTTCAAAACACAAAAAATGGCTATAACAGTCATTTTTAGATTTTGAGACTAAATTTGATGTGTAGAAGCTGTGAGTCATTCACAGCACAACTGAGCGTGTGATCTCATATAATACATTGGTTAAATATTATTTTCAATATTTGATCACAAATGCTACAACTCTGTCTATAAATCTATGGCATGACAGGCAGCAGTCAACCATTACTTTAAGAAATGCAAGACTTTAACTTATCATTTTAAATGTGGATATTTTAAAGCTCGTCTACAAACCAGATTCCAAAAAAATTGGGACACTAAACAAATTGTGAATAAAAACTGAATGCAATGATGTGGAGATGGCAAATGTCAATATTTTATTCGTAATATAACATAGATGACAGATCAAAAGTTTAATCCGAGTAAATGTAACATTTTAAAGGAAAAATATGTTTATTCAAAATTTCACAGTGTCAACAAATCCCAAAAAAGTTAGGACAAGTAGCAATAAGTGGCTGGAAAAAGGAAATTGAGCATATAACGAACAGCTGGAAGACCAATTAATACTAATTAGGTCAGTTGACAACATGATTGGGTATAAAAAGAGCTTCTCAGAGTGTCAGTGTCTCTCAGAAGCCAAGATGATAAGAGGATCACCAATTCCACCATTGTTGCGCAGAAAGATAGTGCAGCAATACCAGAATGGTGTTACCCAGCATAAAATAGAAAAGACTTTTAAGTTATCATCATCAACCATGCATAACATCATCAAAAGATTCAGAGAATCTGGAAAAATCGCTGTGCGAAAAGGTCAAGGCCGTAAAACTACTGGATGCTCGTGATCTCCGGGCCCTTAAACGTCACTGCACCTCAAACAGGAATGCCACTGTCAAGGAAATAACAGAATGGGCTCAGGAATACTTCCAGAAAGCATTGTCAGTGAACACAATCCACCATGCCATCCGCCGTTGCCAGCTGAAACTCTACAGTGCAAAGAGGAAGCCATTTCTAAGCAAGCTCCACAAGCTCAGACGTTTGCACTGGGCCAGGGGTAATTTAAAATGGAGTGTGGCAAAATGGAAGACTGTTCTGTGGTCAGATGAGTCATGATTTGAAGTTCTTTATGGAACACTGGGACGCCATGTCATCCAGACCAAAGAGGACAAGGATAGCCCAAGTTGTTATCAACGCTCCGTTCAGAAGCCTGCATCACTGATGGTATGGGGTTGCATGAGCGCTTGTGGCATGGGCAGCTTGCATATCTGGAAAGGCACCATTAATGCAGAGAACTATGTTCAGGTTCTAGAACAACATATGCTCCCATCTAGACGTCATCTCTTTCAGGGAAGACCCTGCATTTTTCCACACGATAATGCCAGACCACATTCTGCAGCAATCACAACATCATGGCTACGTAGGAGAAGGATCCGGGTACTGAAATGGCCAGCCTGCAGTCCAGATCTTTCACCTATAGAGAACATTTGGCGCATCATAAAGAGGAAGGTGCGACAAAGAAGGCCCAAGATGATTGACCAGTTAGAGGCCTGTATTAGACATGAATGGAGAGCATTCCTATTTCTAAACTTGAGAAACTGGTCTCCTCTGTCCCCAGACGTCTGTTGAGTGTTGTAAGAAGAAGGGGGGATGCCACACAGTGGTAAAAATGGACTTGTCCCAACTTTTTTGGGATTTGTTGACGCCATGTAATTTGGAAACAACAGATTTTTCCCTTAAAATGATACATTCTCTCAGTTTAAACTTTTGTTCTATGATTTGTGTTCTATTCTGAATAAAATATTAGATGTTGGCACCTCCACATCATTGCATTCAGTTTTTATTCACAATTTGTTTAGTGTCCCAACTTTTTTGGAATCCGGTTTGTAGATTGCATGTAGTATAATGTATGTAATGTATCAATTCCCTATAGTTTCAGTGAAAATAGATGGCTTATCTGTGAAGAGATTAAAGTCTTCTCATCACAGTTAATCTCCCGCTTGGCTGTAAAGGTTTAGAACAATATTAGACTCCTCATCTATTCTTTGAGGTCAGCTCATAAAGCCTTTATGTGTTTAGATCAAGAGCCAAACAAAGCCAGAGGTATTTACATACCAATAACTATCTTTTATGTCTTGTTTGACCATAAATGACAAAGTATTTGTGCAGACATTAATTGAATACACTGATTATGATAGTGAAATGTGTTTTAACTAATGTTCATTTTAAATGCTCACTTAATATCAAGTATAGTTCCGTGTAGTTGTTATTAACGTTTGCTATTCAAATGTATATTTTTGTTACTGTTGCATTGAAAAAATGGGGAAAAGAGTATAGCAGATACAACTGAGGTAAAATAAAAGAACGCTGGCTTTCCGTTTTAAGATTTTGACTTAGAATTGATTAAAAAAAAAATCCTTTGGTCAACACTAAATCAAATTTCCAATTTTAGTTAGATTTTAACTGAGAAACATGGTTTGATTTAACGGGGTGTCTAATGCCGTCCTTACCGCTCCAGTTGACAGTTTCAAACATAACCTGTCACACCGTAACTCCATCCATCCATTATCTTTTACCTGCGTCTTCCTTTTTGGGTCGTGGGAGTCACTGGTGCCCATATTCAGCTATCACTGTGCGAGAGGTGTGAGACACCCTGGACAGGTCTCCAGTCTATCACAGGGACACATCGAGACAAACAACCGTTCACATCTAGGGACAATTTAGAGTTACCAATCAGCCTAACATGCATGTTTTTGGTCTGTGGGAGGAAACTGGAGTAACTGGAGAAACCCACACATGCACAGAAAGAACATGCAGACTCCAGACAAAATGGCCCCCCGACTAGGACTCAATCCGGCGACCTTCTTGCTGAGAGGTGGCAGCTCTACCAACTGATCCACTGTGCCGCCTAACACCGTAACTCAGTATTTCAAATCAGTCAAGGAAACACAACAAAACTGATTCTTTCCCCAACAGCTTACTCCAAAGTGGAACAAACCAGCTTTGTTTGTGACAAGATGGTCTCTTGGGATAAGAATCAGTTTTGTTGTGTGTTTCCTTGACTGATGAAGCCTTCCGGATCGAAGGCGAAATGTTTCAGCACAAAAAAAGAAACTGTCCAGATGACCTGACTGAAAAATGTTGGATTGTATACCTGGATTATTGAGCATGGACTTTGTTGTCATATTTAACTACCTGTTCGGTAGGCAGGGCTCTCAGTTTTTTTGACAGTGTGGGGTGCCCTGCTTGTATAATGGTAGAGAAAACACTGATCCTTAGGACAATGGATGAAAATTAGCTGTTGTGCTAACTCTGGCATATTTACATTGATGCTTACTGCTAACATGCTGATTAATATGCATTGTCAGAATTTAAATAAATAAACGAAATATGTATAAGCAACTTATAAACAAGACATATTTTCTCAGATTGGTGTTTTGGAGCTTCCACGTGTGTCAACATACATCTGAAACAGTTACAGAGAAGCAAGTATTTCTATTGCTATTCTATGGATTGTAAAATAATGATCATTATACAGTGAGAGAAATTATTCACAAGTGGGGGGAAAAAACTTCCTTACTGGTACTGTAATATACAGATTTGTATATTGTTAACTAACGAATGCACTGCAGATAAATAATGTGCAAATATTAGTAGTAATGCATGATATTATCGGCAGTATCGTATCGGCCGCTATTAGCGATAAAGTTAAATATCGGACATTGACCGTTCCATTAAAAAAAAAAACCTCACCAATATAAAAAGCTTCTGTGTTTTGTTTTTTTTTTTGTGCGTGTGTTTTTTTTGTTTGTTTGTTTGTTTTTTGAATGTCCAGAGGACTTGACTTAACTTTTTTAGATTTTTCTACCTGGATTATTGAGCATGCATCAGGATGCTTCTGTTTTAAGTTAATTTTTAATTTAAGAAACTGTCAAGTATTTCTATTAATGCACTACTACTTATGCACTTTTCACTTGTCGCTTTTAAACAGGTTAGGTTTAGATTAGTGAAAACTTACAAACGTGCACTGTTCGAGTGTTGTCATTGTGTTAGAGAGTAAATGTTATGAATAAATTTGACATTAAACATAATCCAAGTTGAAGTGTTGCATCATTTTCAGCCCCCTTTTTGGCATCTGCATTTGGTAGCAGGTCAAACTGACAATGACCATGCAGAATAATGTAGTATTTTAATTCCACAGCAGAGAAAGATATGTAGTCTCTGTAAGTAGGTCTAGGGGAAAAGTATTGGTATTGGTTATTGGCCATGTAAGTTTTAACATATCGGATGTCTGCCAAAAATCCAATATCGTGCATCCCTAAATAGTAGAATCTTTTTTCTCTCTCTCTCCGCACCCCGCTCTGAGCTGCCAGTGTGGGCTGCATCTCCCCCACTTTAAACTGCCGGTACAAACACGCGCAGCTAAACTGTCACGTGAGATCCTCAGAGAACAGAGTCAGGTGATGAAAGCCTGAGCATCAGAGAACTGAATCATTCCTGCAGGAACAGAGGAAGCTGAAACTCCACAAGCTTCAGGGTCAGCTGATCACCTCGTTACAAGTTCTGGAAGTTAGAGCTCATTTAAAGGCAACATATTTGTTGTATGTTACATTGATGCTCAACAGATCTTAAGCTTCGTTTTATTTAGTGATTTTGGGAAACTTCACCTGCACTTTAGTTTTTGTGGTGGATTTATTGATCTATATTTTGTGCAGACTTTTTCAATCTAAATAACAGAAGG